GGGTCTGTTGGCAAGGGGGGGGTTGTTGTGGGGAGGTGATCACCACAGAGGGCATTACCCGAATCGGGCCGGGTTGTCGACCATCTGTGCTGGGCTGAGGAGGGGGGTGTTGTGTGGGGTGGAGCCGAGGCAGCAGAGGTTGGCCCATGACCGGACAGTAGGAGACCGGGAGCGGCTTCCACTGCCATTGTCGCTCATTCTGCCACCATGGCTTCCATAGCATACATAGTGATGCATCAAGTTCCCCCAGTTTCTTCTCCGGGTCCAGCCACAGTTGCTCAAAGAGAGATATTTGTTCTGATCTCTTTAGCGGGTCAGTTATTTGAGATAGAGAATCTTTCAGTTGGGTCCAGGCCTTATGAGTGGCCGCACGAACAGTGTCAATGATGTGCAACTTGGCTTGCTGATATCCGAAGAGGTGTTCTTTCCTCTCGTGAGAGCATCTGACCCGCCAGGGTGTCATCAAGATTTCCATTCTGGTGAGCGAGAAGAGGTTCATCTGAAACGGTGTCCATGTCTGTGTAGCATCGGGGAGATGGCCCAATAGTACCACCGCCAGGTCCCATGGGAAGTCCTGGCCTGTGAGATGGAGCCATGCAGCACTCCACCACAGCAATATCTGTCTTGCCAAAGGGAAAAATAGTAGGCAGTGCTCGAGGTCAGCTATTTGCTTCGGGCTGGAGAGACCACAGAAAGTGCAGATTGGGGACTGCTTTTGTTCCAGTTGTGAGCGGGACACTACCCAGTCAGGTGTTGGTAGGCATCTGTACAGAATTCGCCATTGCAGTGCTCTATGGGATGTGGGCATCAATCGGGCATACTGGGGCCAAGCAATGCGCTCAATCTCCCGGTTCGTAAGTGTGGAGTCTTGTTCCCAGCGGTGTTTTGCTGTATTTGTGGTATCTATCGTTCTGTGCATTCTTTTGTGGCAGTCTTTCACTGCAAACTTCCAAAGCGGGAGAAGCTTAGCACCCCCCCAGCGCCATTCAGAGGGGTCAAAGGGTAGCTGACACAGGGGTACTGTTGATTCGTACCCGTACCATCCATCGTTGTCATCTCCCAGCACCCTGACTCTGATAAGTCGGCCCAGGGTAGCGCGGTATCCAAGTCCTAAAGACAACAGATGGAGGTCTTGGATCAGCCATGGGATACAGAAGATAGGTCACATATGGGATGATGAGAAGAAAGGCTGGCTCGATGTCATCACCGGAAAGAGAACGTACAGGAAATAATAAGAAGCATACCATTTAGAATGGTACTTTCAGGGTCTTGGTTCAGTATAGAAGGGGATTCGGGATCAAAGTAAGAAATGGGGAATGAACTTCAATGAAGTGACTACCGACACGTGACTATTGTTGGTAACCGAACTCCTCAAAGAGGATTTCTCCTGGAAATTAGGAGAATGTGGCGTAGTGATTCAAGAAGTAACTCCAACCCGGGCCTACCAGTTCTCACACAGGGTTACCAACAATAGTCACGTGTCGGTATTCACTTCATTCCCCATTTCTTACTTTGATCCTGAATCCCCTTCATACTGAACCAAGACTCTGAAAGTGTCATTCTAAATGGTTATGCCCTACGCAAAATCAGAGTAATGGGCTTATGGCCAAAGGTGATATTTCAAATCAACACTGTCATCCAGGACTTGGAGTTCGACCTGGCGGAATGGCGTTGGCAACCGAAGAAAGGTAAAAGGAAGAACCTGATTGTACCGATATCGGATTACACAGTCAAAGAGATGTTGCTGAAGACACAAGACCTGGATCCGACAATTAGAAACAGATGGTTAAGGTTGTTAAGGGAAGAAGCAAGCCAAATCACAGAAATACCTTGGAAACAATTCAAAACAATACGCCCAGTCAAAGTGAGAAGCCTCCAGTCGCTTACCACATATGTAGCCCTGCCGTCAACCACTGGCTACATATTAGAAGAAAGAATAAAGACCCTAACAGCTCCGATTTATGCCTTGTGTGCTCAGACCAAGAACAATAAGATATAATCCACTGTTTAATCAGATGTAAAGAAGCAACAAAATTATGGGCAAGGGCATCTGATCTGTGGGACCACCTCTTCTCATCTTCCTTCCTGGAAAATCCCATTCAACTCCTCCTATGGACTAACCTTCCTTCCCATCTGTCCAAGCCAGAAACGTTGTGGTTCAGAATGATTTGTAAAGCCACGTTATGGGCAATCTGGAAGGAGAGATGCAGCAGGACTCTGGACAAGACAAGAAACCAAATTGACAAGGTATGGTCTGCTACAAAGGTCATGATGGAAGCAGAGGTTCTCTGCAAATGGAGGAAGGTTAAGGAAACTGCGCGGAGCTATCTGGACACATGTCAGTTACACCTGACGGAGTTCAGAAGAATTTGGCTAGCGCATGGTAAGGTGGCAGAAATCAACGAAATGCGACTCGAATTCAAGGACTGGCACAATTCAGAGAGTCCATTACGGAGACAGGACTCCTAGACAGAACGGCCCCAGAGCCCAGCAAGATCGTGGCGTGCAGATGGAAGGCAGATTGCCGTCTTATGATTCTCGATTTGAATTGCCATAGTTGACAGGCCTGCACAAGGGACCTGAGGGGAATACATGAGAAGGGCAAGCTGACAGTCAATCCTCCTGTAACAGGGAGCAATCAATGCTGGTCAGGGATCCTTCACCCGAATGGAAGGATGTGTGAGGGTGCATATGATGGATCTGAATTTATTGGCTTGCCGGGGAAATAGGAACCGGACTGATACTCCCCAGAATGGATATGGAGCCAGGACCATAAGGCCCTGTTTATTCAAAAAAAAAAAGAAAAAAGAAAAAAAGAAAAAAAAAGAAAGGTGCACTTGAAAAGTGCAACTACTCGGACTCCCTCGCAAGGAATGGGGAACCGGAGGCAGAATACGACCATGTACAGCATTCCAGAGGGAACAACCCACTTTTCTTGTCATCATGGGTGGGTAATCAGCAAATAGGAAAGATTTTTGGCTTCGGCGAAGCTCAAACAAAGGACTGTAACAAGTTCAATACAGATATATGGCTTTGTTTGTCACCCGCACTCTGCAAATGCACAAGATTTTTTGGCCTCAGCGAACCCCAAACAAATCATTTCTGGAAAAGGAAAACCAGCTGGTTGACGCAGTACACCACCACGTTATAACAACACCATAATCCCAGAAGGAAATTCCAATTCCCAAAACAGTTTGGGGACAGAAGAAGGGTGAAGAGGAGGAGGAGGAGGAGGAGGTCAACAACGATGATGATGGTGAAGACAATACCCAGTGGGGGATGGGGAGAAAAAGAGCAAAGGAAGGGGAGGAGGAGGAGGAGGAGGTTGATAATGGTGGTGGCGACAAAGGACAATGCCAATGAAGTAGGAAGAAGAGAACAAGGAGGAGAAAAGGAGCCAAGAAAGGGGAGGAGAAGGAGAGACGAGAGAGGAGAGGAGAGAGAAGACGAGAGAGGATAGAGGAGAGAGGAGAGAGGAGTGAGGAGCGAGGAGCGAGGAGAGGAAAGAGGAGAAAGGAGACAGGAGAGAAGAGAAGGAGAGGAGAGAGGAGAGAGGAGAGAGGAGAGAGGAGAGAGAGAGAGGAGAGAGGAGAGAGGAGAGAGAAGAGAGAAGAGAGAAGAGAGAAGACAGAAGAGAGAAGAGAGAAGAGAAAAGTAATAGGAATAGGTGATGGAGAAGATAGGAACTGGGACCAAAAGATGTGCCAAAGCCCCGTGCATTATAGTAGCCTAAGAGGGCCTCGAGAGCATAAGGATACAAACCACTGATGGACAGCAAAGACTTAACTCTGACAATTGATAAAACAATGAGTACAATGAGACAACCAATCCATTTCAATGGCTCTGAGTCCAATGCACACACGCATGGCGTGTCCTTGACACCCCCAGCATCAGACAGGAAGAACGGATGTTCTTGAAATCTTGCCTCCCTCATTCATGATCCTTCACGCTCAATTGACAGACGGAAACTGCTTGATGAGGAACAAGAGTTTGTGCAACGTTCTCGTGACGGTAATGGTCCACATGACCTGAGATGCTGGAGCTGGAGCTGAGCAACAACGGGATTCCCACACTCCTCCGTTCGCTTGAAAGTGCACCCTCCTGCATTTCCTTTATATTGTGAACCCTGAGCAAACAGATTCATGCCAAGGGATGTAAACATATCCATATAATGGATAATATGTGCTCATGTCCACTATCCACAAGCAGCACAATTGAATTGCAGGAGTAGCAGCGCCAGAAGAGGGTGGACACAGGCCCCGACGAGCACGAGGAAGAGGAGGAGGAGGAGGACTAGGAGGAGCCAGAAGAAGAAGGGAGGGTGCAGTGACGTGCAAGAACCCAGAAGATCAGAGTGCAAGATTTGTGTGTAGAACGACGAGGAGGGTTTCTGCATCAGTCCGGTTAGATGAGCCTTTCAGCTTAGGTCTCCTGAAGATGGGTGTAGTAGAACTTTTGCAGAAGGAGGAGGAGGAGGAGGAGGAGGAATGCCAGGAGGTTGCAGTGATTCAAATGAGTCTGGAGGGCAAACTGCAAGAGGGGACCAGCTTCGTGTGTTCGGCGAGGAAGGTTTCTGCATTGGCCAGGTTTGATAAGACGTTCGGATTAGTTCTCCCGTAGAGTTGAAGACGAAGCGTAGGATACTTCCATGCGACCTGCGCCTACTTCCTCAGCTCCCACTCTGTGACCTCGTACTGTGTGCCGTGGGTTATACTGCCCGGGGCCAGGACCAGGATCTGCAAACAATTCCACACAGAAAGAAGGCATTGTAAAGCATTAGCCATGTGTCGTCATTCTGCTTCCACCATCACGCATATTATACATTATTTAATTTATTTTATAACATAATGATATTATGAAAGGATTCACGCTGCAGACACACAGTCCCGGTCCCAGGATCCCTACAAGTCCCAGTCCCAGGGCCGTCCCGTAGGGTAGGCCATAGGGTCTAAAGGCCGAAGTGTCGTAGGTATCGGCACCGAAGCGTCGTAGCCTCGTAGGTCGTTAGAGGTCTGTCCGGTACCCGACAAGAAAAGTCCAGAAGAGTCCAGTCCAGGCCGACAGTCCCAAGTCCAATTTGCAGCATGTCCCAGGAAAGTCCGGAAGGTATCGTACCAACAAAATGTTTGCAACAGACAGGCCGCAGCCGACCGGTACCGGTGTGAAGCAGGCCAAGCCAACCCAAGCGAAGCCAGGATTTAGCTGCTACAGTGCAGCGGCTCAACACTTGTTCAGTTGTGAGATGTGGAAGTGCTGCTGCTGCTTGTGCGCTAAGGCAACTTGGGCACTGCACGCCCGAAGAAGAAGAGAGCGCTCACAAGTTAGTCCATAGATAGGTTAGGGGTAGAGCAGGAGGATGGCGGCCATAGCCGCCAAGGTGTAAGCATGCCTGAGTGGGTGTATCCAGGGTGCCGATCTAGGTTAGAGAGAGTGATCAAGGCAGAGCTAGCCAAGTCAGAGAGAGAAGCAAGGTGAAGAGAGAGAGACAGAAAGAAGGGAGAGAAGCCATAGCCGCCACCTGATTAAGATCCGTTGGGGGTGTGTGTGCGGCAGAGCCGCTGGAGACAAACATTCTTGTATATTTATAATAATATTAGGGACGGCATCTTCAAGTGTTGATTGTATCGTGATTTGGCTTCTCACGTGTGAACTCTCATGTGAATATTCATTGATGTATGCGAGGCTGACTTGACGAGTACGTGGCTCATTTCAATTATAATGATTATCTATCTATCATTGAAGTTGATGTAACCTATATTGCCAATTGCTAGCAATAAATATCTAATTAGCTAGGAAGTAGGGAAATGAGTAAAGACCTTTCAAAGTTATTGCTGATGCTCAGATCGAAAGCTGCAGCAGCCCAGGTAGAGGAAAAAGCTGTTTTAAAAGGTCTACCCTACTACACAGGCTTAGACCACAACCCCATCTCACTTAAGTCTCAACATAGGAAACAACTCAGGTAGAGGAAAAAACTTTTTTTTAAATCAACAACCCGATCCTCAACACGACCGAAATTTGGGATGCAGTATTGAGAACATGTATTAACCACAACCACACCAACCGGGATTTTCCTGATTTAGTCACAGCACTATCGGAAGCTATAGCAAAAGCCTCAAGGATACTTGCCAGTAAAAGAAAATTAAGGGGTGACAAGCTTCAACGCACCATAAAACTAGCAGAGAGCAACCTTGTCACCTGTCCAGGTTCAGTCCTTCACGAAAAAGCACTTGAACAAGCCAGGCAAGAACTGGCTGAATGGGAGGAGTGGAGGAACAAAGGCTTGAGACTGCGAACAAGGGTGAAAGAATGGGAAGAAGGAGAGATAATGACCAAATACTTCTTTCACAAAATTAAATCCAATGCCATCAATGCAAGCATTGACCAACTACAAACGGATCAGGGTCCCTCTGAGGATCCACAATTAATGCTGGCAACGACAGCTGCCTTTTCCAAGAATCTCTACACCTCCAAGGAACAGAAGTACACACAGCAGGAAACAACACAGGCTAGAAACCAATTCCTGACTTACCTGGATAAAACAATCACAACCCTAGATGCCCCAATCACAGAACAAGAAGTGTTTGAAGCCCTACAGTCCATGAAACCCAACAAAACACCCGGAATCGACGGTCTTTCCAAGGAATTCTGGTTAGGCTACTGGCCTGCGCTAGGTACTGAATATTTCCATTTCCTCGAGAGAGCCTGGGAGAGAGGCACGTTGGGAGAACTTCAGAGCACAGGAGTGGTCTCCCTCCTATATAAGAAGGGAGAACCAACGGATGTCAGAAATTATAGACCAGTATCTTTGCTCACAGTAACATATAAAATCCTAGTGAAACTGTTAGCCAACAGAATAAGAACAACAATAAGGAATTGCTTCCATCTGGACCAAACGGGTTTCATTCGAGGAAGATTCATATTAGACAATGTTATGACCCTAACCGAATCTGTCATATACATACAAGACAAAAGAATGAACACTGCCATCCTTTTTTTTTTTTTTTTTTTTTTTTTTTTTTTTTTTTTTTTTTTTTTTTTTTTTTCGAGAAGGCCTACGACCAAGTGAATTGGAACTTCCTACAACAAAGCATGAAAAAAATGGGGGTGGTCCCAGACTTCAGGCAATGGGTCAGAAGGCCATGGAAGAGTCCAAGTCAATGGTCACATATCACAGCCCTACCGAATGTCACGCTCAGTACGCCAAGGGGACCTTCTAGCAACTCCAATCTTCTTATTCATCATGGAAGCCATAGCGTCCCCCTCAATTGAAAGACTCATGGAAGACAACTAACACCCATCGTTTGTCCCAACCACAATTCTTTTCACAACTGATTTAACTATCTTGATATGAGCGTCCGACCCTTCCTTCGAAGCACTAACCAGGGCAATGCAAGCATTCTAAATTGCCTCGTAAATGAAAATCAACTGGTCTAAAACTATAGGATGGTGGCTACACCCCAAGTCAACACACCGTGAAACACGTCAGATGGTATGAGTTGGTCTAAAGGCAGCAAACCCCTTAGATTTTTGGGCATCCAAGTCTCCAAGTCTCCTAGTCTGGCCGAATCACTCAATGACCCCGGGAATCATGAGCAAAATGATAGCTAAATTGGGAAGTTGGTCCAGTGTCTATACTTCAAAATTTGAGAGAGCCACAACCCTAAATGCCTCCATTTTCTTAATGTTATGCTATGCCTCAACTATTTGGACACCGATCAAACAGGCGAGAACACAATTAAGAAGGAAGGCAGCTGCATATCTATGGGTAGGGGACCCATCTAAAACCCACTTCATCTCCAAAGTGGCCTGGAAGTACGTCGCCCAGCCAAAGGCAAGAGGAGGCTTGGGACTGTTCGACCCAGAAACCCAAATAACAGCTTTGCAGACTAAATGGATCTTGAAAATCTTAACAAATAATAATCTCCCCTGGATCGATCTAGGCATGTGAAGAAACCAACTCACAAAGGTCAAAACTCCCAGAAACACGAGAGGCCTGTTTTGGATAATGTCAAATCATGGGCTATGAAAAACACCAGTAGAACTTTTGAGTCAGACGAGCCGGAGGAAGGGCAAAACTGGGATTTTTGGAGAAACCTTTTGAAGACTTGGAGGGGAATTTTCTTGGCAAAGGCAAGAGAACCAAAGTCCAAGGAAGAAGCACTTCGTCAACCCATATGCTGCAATCAGTGGATCCTGGATCCCCAGGGCAAACTGCGGGCACTAACAGCAGCTGACCTCAGTGGATGTCATGGGTAGAAAAATGGAATTTGGCAAATTAAGCATTTCTGGTCACAATCGGAAGGAAGATGGAAATGGTAGGAGAACTACGACAATCCATGAAGGGATGCGACAACGTACAGGACAACCTTAAGAACATCCGAATTTCAATCCCGGGCAGCTGGTTGGATCTCCTGAAAAGCCCCTTCATGGGTAGAAAAATGGAATTTGGCAAATTAAGCATTTCTGGTCACAATCGGAAGGAAGATGGAAATGGTAGGAGAACTACGACAATCCATGAAGGGATGCGACAACGTACAGGACAACCTTAAGAACATCCGAATTTCAATCCCGGGCAGCTGGTTGGCTCTCCTGAAAAGCCCCTTCAAATGGTCACCTGGAGACTGGTTAATGAACACAAAGGGCACGACCCTGAACATGGCCTACCTACTCCGTACAAGAGGAGGACCCAGGAACAGTTGGCTCATCTGTGACATGTAGACAATTGAAGACCCGGGAGCAACCACAAGCTTATTCAGCATGAACCCAACAGGTGAGATAGCACTCCCTAATAATACATACTGTAAGGAATGTTAGAGTGGTTGAAAATGCTAAACGCAGAATTTATAGCCCAACAACTAGTATACATGACCTAGAATTCGACCCAGTCGAATGGGCATGGAAACAAAGATCAGGAAGGTTCGCAATAGAGACGAGAACAAATATCTTAGAGTACACCACCAGATTAGGATACACATTAAGGAGGAGATCTTACCCTACATCACAAATCAAATCATCAGTCGGAGGTGGGAAACACACCTCGATCTACCATAGAGCCGAACGCACATCAAGTCGTGGAATAAATTATTGTCTATTTCTTCCACGAGGATAAGAAGTTTCCAGTGGCAACTAGCCTACTCAGCATTACCGGTTAATCAATGCCTAAACAAAAGACGCAAGACACAATCAAGGTCTCCCCTACAGGAGCTATGTGTTATTTGCCAGGAGAACGCGGTAGAGAGCATAAATCGCTGCCTCCTGTCCTGCCCCAAAGCAAAACAATTGTGGACAAGAGCAGCTGATCTATGGAGCTCCATTACTGACAAAACCTTACCAAATGACCCAACCATCGTGCTCCTTGGATTTCATACACCCTCTATTTGGCAAAGTTTTGAATTCTCTCTATTCCATGTACTGAGACTAGCCACAATCTGGAGGCGCAGATGTCAAGAGACTATTGATAACTCTCCGGTGACTGCTCAAGAGGCTTGGGAGGGAGCATACAGAGGACGCCGGAAAAAGGACTTACGAAAAAATCATGCAGAAAATGGAAAATAAGGACAAAAAATCATAGAGGAATCAAGAGGATTTAAAAAAACGACAACTAGGGGATGGGAAAATAGCAACAATCGATAAGGAAAGAATTAGGTTTGGCCAGTGGAGATGCGGCGGCCAAGCTCAACCACACAACTCAAAGATGCCAAGAAGCAGATCCCATCTCACAAACTGTGCCATGGACTCAGGATAGAGACCTCAACCCCCCAGCATAACCTGCACCCAGACTAACACTACACAGCTCCAGTTTCCCCAACCAATCTAGCCTAATGCTCAACCCACCAAGCAAGGACATTTTTTGGGGATACAAGTTCCTTTCCAGGTCGTTCCTAGGCCAAGCCGGAGGTTTAGGTAAGCTTAGATAGGTTAGTGATATAGTTCCTTTCCAGGTCGTTCCTAGGCCAAGCCGGAGGTTTAGGTAAGCTTAGATAGGTTAGTGATATATGTAGAAGGCATGCCCAACATAGGAGCATTAAGCAAGGGTCAAGACCTCGTACAGCTCTAGCTTCCCAGGGGATTCTGACAGCCTAACAGCTGAAAGGAGCCAGTATGAGACAGAGAGGCGAGGGTTTTGGGTTTAGGCCCTTGGGGAGATAAAAATAGCACAGCGCCAGGACGACAGTTCCACCACTCAGAGCAAAACAGCTGACAGCCTTAGTAACAAAGGTCGACATATTATAACTACAGGATTTGAAAAGATCACGCAAGTCAGATGCGTATCAAGTCATGATTGTAAGTGTAACAGGCTAACTTAGGCAGGGCTGAGGGGTGGTACATCCTTCCTCGGGAAAGTAATCAATGCCGTCCACACTCGGGCCTCCCAACCGTGACAGGAGGAGTGTGTGCGGAAGTACCTCTGTAATCCCTTTTGGCTTGCCGGGGGAATAGGAACCGGACTGTTGCTCCCCCAAAAGGTAGGAGCCAGAACCTGAAGGTTTTGTATCTGGAAAAAAAAAAAAAAAAAAAAAAAAAGAACACCGAAAACTGCAGCTGCAGTAGGCGATGCCGACACAAGAACGATGGTGTCGATAGGGTCACTTCTATGTGTGTTGACGCTTGAATCGATCGTTATCACTGTACTTTGATGGATGCCAGCATCATAACGACAGTGTGGGTATGTAAATTTGTACTAAATAAGGTCCATTTAACAGGTGATTAGTCATGTCCTTTGGACATCCGTCAAAGTTGGAACGACTATGAGAATGTTAGCATGGCCCCTGTGCAAGGATGGCACACATTTAAAATGGGGAAGAAAAAAACAAAAAACAGGTGATTAGTCACAGGTGATGTGCACTGCAAGGTCTTCATGATGAGCTGCTACAGCAGGCCCCCTGGTCCTGGGCCCAGGTTCAGCAGGGCCCAGCAATTCCCCAGCGCATAGATTTTTCTGCTGCTGGGAGATGTACCTGTTGTTTAACACAGTGCCTGCAAGGGACCATGGACAACGAGAGAATCGCACACACACATGCAAAGCCATGAGAACGTACTGCAAGGGACTGAAGGGAAGAGGGAGGATTGTCAAACAGCACCGAGAGAACCAGGAAACGATTCAACAACCCGAATCAGCCCAAGCAAATAGAAGAAACAGAGGGCATCTCAACTTAGGGCTGTGACTCTTGTGAAAGAGAGGGGCAAAATTTGTTGATGATGCGAAGCGGGGGCATGCAACCAACCAGCGCATTGTACCAGGAAATTGCTATGGATGACAGCCAAACTTATAGGCAGCAGGATCAGAAGGAGAATGAGTATATTTCTGGCAGGCATTTCCCCCCTTTTAGTGCAGTACAGGCAGCATTGCTTTTTTTGCACTTATGCTCACGACTGCAGGAAGTCATTGACAAACAAGTTGAAACAACATAGAGGAACAGCTGTGTACAAATTTAGAGAGTAAACTGGCTCCAAAAGACAAACACATATACACATGTAATCAGCGAATAGTAGAACACACACACACACACACACACACACACACACACACACACACACACACACACACACACACACACAAAGGGGGTTTGCATGGGGATGGGCAGCTAAGGAATTGCATGAGGGCGAATAATTTCATGAGTTCATGAAAAATCAAATTGATACGATGCTGTAAAATGTTGAACCATTTCGTACCTGTGTCAAACCGTTGCAGCCGAGGCGAAAGTGTGTATGCTGGTGCATGCTTCATTGGCCGAGGTTGATATGTCCCAGGTCCAGGACAGTCATTTCCTGATGATTGTTCCCAGTTCAATTCCAAAAGGTTTCATGCAGACATGACACCAGACAGAGTGAACACCATTACAGTAAGATTGAAACGAATCAAACAGGTTAAAAAATCATTAAACATTTTGACTCAAGTCATCCATACCAGGAGTGCCACGACCATTGGGACTGTCACCCATACCAATGGGACTGTAATCCATACGACTGGGACTGAAATGTTAAGTGTGCTGAGCCCCTCAGGGAGTCAGAATTGGTGTCCTTGTCAGGCTGCTATGTAGGTAGCTAGGGACATGTTGGTTATTGTACAAATAGGGTGGGCAGTCACAAAAAAGGGAAAAAGAACGAAGGAAAAAAAGAAAACGAAAAAGAAAAAAAGAGGTAACCTAAGCTTACAATAAGGGAAACACAGAGAGCATAATGAGAGCAAGCGTTGATTTGGGTAATTTTAATATCTTCTTGACTTTGCCGGTGGGATAGGGACCTAATCCCTTAAGCCCTAAACCTTAAACCCAAACCTGAAAATCTTGAAACCCCAAACCATAAACCCTAAACCCTAAACGGCAAACCCTAATCTCCAGTTCCTAAGGAACTCTGTCTGCCAATCGACTGAGGGACGCGTTGGGCATGGGTGCCACTGAACTCAACCACGCAGCTGAACTCTAACACTAAGCCACAAACAAACCCTGCGCTCTTAAATGACAATCTCTTAACTGCCTCCTCTACTCAGAAGTACTCTGCCAATCAATTAAACGACCAGTTCAGACAAACCTAAGTAGTGCTCTTGCCGGCATACGGGGTATGCCGGTAAGAGCACTTGGCTTCGGGTCTGGACCGGTAGTGAAAGCGGCAGGGCACTTTGAAAAGGCCCAGTTGAAGGTTCGCAAGAATTGGACGGAAGCTTAGTCAACCTAGGCTCGTGCGAAACACTGGTGGTATGGCAAGGTGATTCGGGCACAACTGCCACAAAAAAAACGTTTGTCAGACTTTGTGTGCGATCCCCTCTCAATTTAGCAGCAGGTCCACTGCATAAACTCATTGGAAAAACAGAACTGCGAGTCTTGTCCAATCTGTGCATGCTTTTTTTTTCCCCCTCAAGAAAAAAGAGACCTAAACGCCAAAGGGCCTAAGCCGCCTAACCGTTAAACCCTAAACCCTAAACACTCAACCCTGAAACCCTAAACCCATAACTGAGTTAACTCCCTTTATTTTGGGTCTATTATGAATTACTGCAAAAACAAGCCGTCCTTCTGATGGGTGCATGGAAAGCATTTCGTGTTTGGAGGGACTAACAGTCACTAACTATTTCCTTCTCTCCAGAGCCTCACACAATTGATAAGTTTATAACAAATTGAACAGCAGAATCCTTCTTTTTTTTGTTGAAGTTCAGGGATAGCAAGCTCCATTCTAGTCTGGGGATTGTCAGTCCAGTTCCTTCTAGTCATGCAATTGCACTCACAACATTTTCAGAATGAATCACAGTTTGTGGTGTTCAACATTCAGCATTTTGTGTTGTTTTACATTCAGCATTTTGTGTTGTTTTACATCCACCGCCATTCTTTCCTAACTTCATGAATTAGATGAGAAGCCACTGCAGCAGTTGGAAGTATGCACATATGTTCTTGCTTGATGGAACACATTAAAGTTGATTAAACCGCCAGTACACAGCCCCAGCTCTGCTAAAAGAAACTTGTCGCCTGGTCCAAAAAGTTCGGGGCCAGCGCACCATCAAAAAAAAAAAAAAAAAAAAAAACATCGGTGGACGGCGTCGTGTTTCAGCCTCCGGAAGGGGGGCCTGCGGCCAATGTATATCTTGTACTGGTGGTTTAATGGCTCTATCCTTAGGTGGATTGGGAGAAAGGCCCTCTATTGCTAGGAAAAAAACAGGTCGATGAATTCGAGATGGGCGTATTGCTAGGAAAACACCAGGTCAATCGATTCATCCAAATAGAACAACACAGATTGAGAAAGAGCTAGAGAGAACATGGGAAGGAAACCAGTATGTGTTGCAGGTAGATTAATTACCTGATCTCACGTAAACTCTTCCAGCCATACTATAGGCAGGGGCTCCACCCTCAACAATTCTGCTCCCTTTATAGTTGTACTGACCAGGTCCAGGAACCGACATATCTGCAAATTGATTGCCAACATGCTTATGTTTAGGAATGTGGCACGAAGCTTTTTTATTATACGTGTTACGATCCTGACTAATTCCGAAGTGCAAATTCACAAGGAAAGACAATGTCGTTCGATTGCAAAAGAAATGAACGAACTTGAAAGGAGATAGAGACAAAGGAAGATGAAAGAAGAAGAAAGAGAGAAGAAGAAGAAGAAGATGTACACCAGCAAAAGACCAATGACAAAATCCCCCTTCTCTCGCCACTCAACCTCGTCCTCTTTATCTCCCCCAAACTTATTCTTCACCAAATAATAATAATAATAATAATGCAATGAGCCCAGACGTGATGATACTCGTCAACATTACCAGTCCCTATGATTATCGATCTGCTGATGAAATGACAAACAATCGTAATATGTGTGATGATAGAATGAGGTGAGAATCATACACAGACGAAGGAGGAGAGAGGGAGAATAGACAAAGGAGAGAGAAGAAGACAACAGCCCACTTCTACTTCGGGTTCCTCCTCCTCCTCGCCACCTCATCAATCAATAGACTGAATACAATGTCTGAAGTTCTTCCTCAAGGTGCCACGTGGCACGTCAATCTGTCTACATCAGCAAATGGAGAGTATCGTCATCAACCAGGTACGTATCCTCGATAACCACAGTCTTGATCTCCTTCCGAAGTGACGAAGAATCAGAACAGCCTCATCAACCTCGCAGCCAGCCACGTCATCAATCATATACAGGTGGCAGCGGCCACGTCAGCAACGGCGCGTGGCAGCTGCCACGTCAGCATGCCCAGAAGACCATCGCCAGCCAGCACCTTGCCAGCCAGCAGCGCCTTGCTGTCCTCCTCTGCCAGCATATAGCCGGCGTCAAGCCAATGTCGCAATGTTGCAGCATAGCAACAGCGTCAAGTCCACGCGTGAAGTCAGCATTCACGCAAGACTGAATGTTCTCCAGCCAGGAAGTCAACTCTTAAATAGCGTGGATGCGGGGTCTGGACCCCGGGTACTGAGGTCCTGCACCGTCCAGATCTTGATATGAATGAGGGCCCAGATCGGCCAGAAACTGTATTTCTCCCGCCCTGAATGCTGTCTGGGTACCTGTACACAACAAGTGAATGTATCCGTCCATAGGCCTGGGTACGGACCTTTGACTCTACAGTTGTCTTTGACTGTTGAATTTCCCTTGTGCTGCGTTTGGTCACACAGCCTCCTCGACAGACTCAGGCTGGGCATGTCTCGGTCACATAGCCCAGCACAGACAACTGAGTCTGTGTCTTACCGGGGGCAAAGTTCTGAGCCCCGGTCTGCTGTTGAACAGGGTTACTGCAATAATAATAATAATAATAATAATAATAATAATAATAATAATAATAATAATAATAATAATGAATGGTTGAGCCAGGACCAATATCCGAAGTTCCCTCTTACACCATAGCCATGACCTCCATCTTCCTCCTCCGGCAGGTACTGGCTATGGCGGACTACTAGGGGGCCATGCCCCCATGTTCAAACGACAACGGCAAAGCAGCAATGTCCACTGAGGCTCAGGCTGCCATGCCTGACTCCGCCAAGCCTTCTTGTAGCAGCGCACCCTAACTAGGGCCTTCCAGCAGCAGCGCCAACCAAGAAGTTGAAGATGCCGGCCTCCATGGCCAGGTAAGTACCTCGCCACCCTCCTCCTTCACTCCCTTCTTCCTCCTCCTCAAGCTGGGCTGCTCGCCATAGCCAGGCAGAGTGCCCAGCTCTCCTGCTTCCTCCCCAGCAGCGCTCTGAGAACCAGCACCCGCTGAAGCAAAGCATGACGTCCAAACTTGCATACCACAAATGAGGAGAAGCTACTCGCTCCTTCTGGAGATAAAGCAGCCAACCAGCCTCACGGCTGGTGACTTCCAGGATGCACGACCTCCAAACAACCGGTACCTCCTCCCTTTCGGAAGGAAACATCATTGCAAGCTCTGATACCATCCGCACAGGCTCTAGACTCAGGCTACTTGGACTGGTACCTGGCTACCTAGGCCTATTCGTTCCTTGGCCTCTAAAAATCCCAAGTTTTTGTCTTCTTCTGCCAGGCCTACCGCTACTTGACTGATACCGGCCTGGCCTACTCGCTACTTGAGTGGCCCTAAGCTACGTGGCCTACTTGCCCCAGTGTTTTTCCCCACAGCAACCGTCAACAGCCACAGGTAAGTACCAGGCCTGGGGGCCTCACAAACACACAAGTACCCTGGAGGGTCACACACACACTCAAGCACTTAGGCAACCCAACAAACACACAGAAACCAGCAAACACGCTCACGCACAGACTTCAAAATCTCAGCAAATGCGGAATCTCAGCAGACACAATCCAGCGGGAAAACTCAGAAATCAGCACAGTTCTCAGTCTGTGATTTTGCAGGTCATTACTGTAGAGGGTTCGTGCAGGAGAAAGCTCACGGACTGTCTGCAGGAAGCAGATCCAAGATGTGGGGACACCTAAGGATCCCAAGTTCACAATTGGTTGGAATTCGGGATTGCTCGAAAGTGCAAACACTGGGGGCGACGGAGGGACCATAGTAGTGATTGATGCCAGACATCACAAAGGGTCCTATGGAGAACACAGATTTGATTGATCATTTACACGGCGTCCATCCAGGTCGCAGTTGCCAAGCCTCTGCCGGCTTAACTAGGGACCTTCGTGAGAGCTGTATGCAATAATGTTTAATAATACAAGGGGACCCGCTGCGGCAGCGCCGCGGCAATAAGAGGGAGCGTGTGCAGTTGACGGGCCGAATTGCGAAGCGAAACCAAAAAAAAAAAAAAGCAACAGCAGAAGTGTTTGTAATGCACAAATGCTCTCTGCGCTTTCAGCCGATGTTGATGTCGTGTCTCTCCGTCTCTCTCTCTCTCTCTCTCTCTCTCTCTCTCTCTCTCTCTCTCTCTCTCTCTCTCTCTCTCTCTC